TATGCGCACCAGTTGCAGGAATCTTCCCCTGGCAACAAAAAACATTATATGGATTTCCTGAAAGACTATCTGAAAAAATTGAAGGCTCACATGGAAGCCCAGAAAATTGACGCAGATACCGTAGCCAAATTTATGAAGGAATCGCAGGCGTACGTCAAGAGCAAACTTTTGTCTGACTATGACAATTTGATATTTTACCAACCCAAGACCTCCCAGGATGAGTTCTACTTCATCCCGATGAACTACCGGGAGGATCAGAGTACGCCATACTTCGTCTTTTTTGCAAACGGCCTCGTGGAAGAGAAGGTTTAAATGATATCCCGCTGTGTGCCAGACCCCGTTCTCGATTCCTTTGACCTAAGTCTGTTCGAACACAATACACTGGAAAAAAATGCTTCTGTATGTTCTCTTCTTCATTTCTGCTGTGCGAGGGTCCTACTGCCCTTAGTAATCGTCTCTTAACGATCTTTCCAAGGGCTTTGCCTTCGACACACAATGTTGTCGAATCATAGTGGCTGGGTAACGTGAAAATAAACAACGATCGAGAGTACGGCCATCTTTAGAGACAAGTTGTGCCACGTGGGTTCAAGATAAATTAACCTCTGTTTTGTCATACGTTTGAGGGGGTTTAATTCAGGCCTACTGTTAAAAACGTAGTTTCATGACTGGGTTTTGAATTTGCCCGAGAAGTATTTAACTAATGCACTCTTAGCTATGATGGCCGTGTTGCACTCTAGCACGGACATGCGCGCCTTGATGTGTTCGGTAGGCGAGAGGGAAAGTCGGCGGACAGTATATCATAGGAGTGTTGGTCGTTGAGATGAAGATCTGGCTGACAGTTGTCTCAGCTGTGTAGGCTAGTTGTTTCTAGTAGTAATCCTTTGGTACTTAGTTGGCCTTTTTGATAGAATAGGTCGTGGTTTGAAGCAATCCACCGGCCTATAGATCGCGGACAAACCGTTTGAAAAGCAATAGGTTAGTAGCATAGTACTTTTTTGTGCGATGCTTGACAGTAACTTACGAAAAAGTGAATAGCGGAGGTCGCGGTAGTATGTGACAGCGCAAGCTGTGTTACATATTGACCAGTAAAACTTTGTATTATCTCTCTAGCCTCGTCTGGCCATTGTACTTTTTGTATCCTGTGGAACTAGTTCAGTCGATTGTTAAGCTATCAAAGTTAGACGCTTGCAACTATATGCGCTAAGTTGCATCTGGCTTCAAACTCTGTCCGCCCTATCTGTCGTATTGAATAGCTCATGTCCAGTTCTTCATATGGTAATCTCCGTCTGGCTCAAGTTCTTCAAACGTTGCAGCATCGAGCAAGGTACGGGGTCAGGCGTGTCTGTAGTACTCCAGAGTTGCGCTGTCGTCTGTTGCGTGGCTTAGTGGACCAGTCTGACGGAGAAGACGATACGTATTATACGCCAGCAGAGTTGTCGTTAACGTTAACTGGCGCTTTCGTCATCTCATTGTCGTTGCTTTCGTCGAACATGGATGTAGGTTACTGGTTTGAGAACAGTCGGAGCAGTTATATGCTTTTATCTGGAAAGCCTTCGCGACTTAGGCAATTTGTTGGTCTCCTTCGCCCTGGGGAACA